GGCACGCCCTGATGCGACTCAAGGACGTCACTCGACGAGGCTTGAGGGGTCCGTTGAGATACCTCAATTGACAATGCGTGTTCACGATGAGAAGCACATGAAGATGCAGGATTGTTTTACTTTCTTATTTCATTGTGGGCCAGACGTCAGAACGCCAAAGGCTCCGTCTATACTTTTGCGAAACCCCCACGGGCAAACCGCCCAAGCATTGAAATCACCACCCAAATCCATCCCATTGTATATACGTATGCTTGCTTGTTCAACACTCAAATGCAACAAACAGTGATGGCGGCGATCTATGTAGAACGGCCTCAAACGCACATCAAGCGAATGGTTCGGGCCAGGTCATAAAATATACACAGGCGACCGATAGTCAAAAGGGTAGTCATGAAGACTAAAAGAAGATATGAATAGAGATCGCCTAGGCGTTGGTATCATCGCGCACCAGCAGCGTCATCAATCATGGCGTCATCAAAAGCGACAGTAGCTGCAAGAGCTGGCTGTCCCTTCGCAGGCGTCTAAAACCAACCACTATTGGTATAAGATAGATCAAAGTTGTTCATCGCGTTGAAAGCACCATTGGTCTGATCTATAGGCCATGGGTCCATGGGAACAACATCTTCGAAATTGCTAGGCATCGAGAGGGCGGCTGTGTCGGCAAAGTCAGGCGAGGCGGTACTCGTCATAGTTGCTGGCGCAGCAGTCATGCTCTTGGCGTAGATAGGATCGAAGCCGAGCATGTTCGGCATGGGTGCCGTAGTGGCCATTGGCATGGGCGCGTTGACGGATTCACTCGGTACGGCAGTGCTAAAGCGATACGCAGGGGTATCTTCCCAGAAGAGCGACTCGCTGGCAGCCGACTGAGGGGCTTTGAAGTCCAAGTCCCCGAAGAGGGCTGGCTCTCCAATTTCCGAGTGCGCAGATGAGGCTACAGTAAGGCCGGGACCGCTCAATTTGGACTCTCCGCTGTGTGAGATCGGCTGCGCCAAGTCGTCGTTGAACTTGCTAGGGTCCAGCGGGAGATCAGTAGCAGACCAGACGTGGTCGAAACCAGCAGATGCTGTCAACCAGTCGCTATCCATGTTTGGTAGGCAATCTTGCGATGGCGAGGTGGACAGGCTGCCCAGACCGAACGTACTGTTCACGGGTGTTACACTGTTGGCTATCCATGGCCACTGGTTCGAGAACGTGTCGCTGACGTTGCTGTTGGGAGACTCGCCGTCTTGTTGAAAGACGCCGGGCTGACTGCTGAACATCTCGTTGAAACCGAATGTGTCGAGGCTACCGCCGACGTTGGGAGTCGGCGACTTGTCGGCACAGCGCTGTGTAGAGCCGAACATGGTGTGGAAGTCGTTATTCGATAACGAAAGCGTGTCCATGGAGCGTGTTGCGGGCGGTTCTGGCTTGCTGCGTGCACTCTTCTCTTGCGAGAGCGCGGAGAAGGCGGCATGGCCGTGTAGCGTATGCGGACGAGGAATCTTGTACGGAAGGCCAGAGACGTGGGCCGAGTTGTTGTTGCGATGGCAAGGCTTGTGGTGTCCGTTTGCGAAGACGGTCAAGTGACTCTCCGAGTGCGTCGCAGTCAACTTGGGCTTCGCGCGAGCGTCGTGGAGCGTCTGCCGGGTAGTGTCGATCTTGAGATCGATCTCTTCCTTCTTGGTGCCACACAAGCACTTGCCGCCGGAATGGCACTGGCAGCGGTTGTCATGTGCTAGAGTAACGTCAGAGATGTCGGGGACGGCCAAGCCAGATGTGAGCTCACTCTTCGCGTCGCCTTTGTCTTTGTGCAAGTCCTTGTCCTTCTTGTCGCCACAATCACACTTGGCGTGATGAGACTTGGACTTGCGCGCACCGCGACAGTGCTCGCATTGCTTGACAGGACGACCCTTGGGGTTGATGTGGTGGAGATCGCGATCTTCAAGACATAATTAGCACTGTAAGGTTGTGAAGCGTCGCACTGAGCGACATACCAGTGTGGTTGCAACCGCTCACACGGTGGCCCTTGATGCAGGACGAGCAAGCCCATTTCTCGCCATCGATAACAGGCATACCGGGGCGTTAACGGCCGAGTGCGGTCGTCGCAGCTGGCTACGAGCAGCTGGGTAGGAGCGGTCCAGGGAGCCAACGGGCTAGAAGCGGCGAAAAATGACGAAAATAATGCCACACGCGCGGTGTGAGCGTCTGGGTAAAGATACAGGGAAGAATGGTAAGGTTCAAGAGAAGCTAGTTCAAACGCCAGAGGGTATCTTGGGCAATGGTATGGTATGCTGACTTGTAACCGTGAACGCCGGGGAATGAGACCGAGGACGACAGGATGGAGTGGAGAGTGGAGTGGGAGATCAAAGGGGAACCGAGCGCAAGAGGCGCTGGCCGAAAGCGTTAGACGGAGCTCCTTGGGAACGACCAGACCAGTATACTATGTGGTGTTGTGCGGGTGAGGTAGTGATGAGAGGGAAGAGAGCGAGCGGGAGGAACAGGTTAAGAGGAACGCACACGGCCCTGCGCGGCGTGTAATTGGCTGTGGGGCTTAGCGTCATCGGCAAGTGCGCTCAGACCTCGACGCTCGAAGCAAGCGCGATCAGCCATCATGACGGCGGCTCCTTCGGGCTAGCGCAGGAATCCCACACTTGCATGCAAGTGCAAGCGCAGGTGCAGGTGCGAGCCAGCAGCACCTTCTCACCGCATGAATCCTGCCATCCGCCAGCCCGCCGCCGTCGCGATCCACACCGGACGCCTACGACGCCTGCGACGGAGCCTGCTCCTGTGCTGCGCTGGCCTCGCCAGCCCGCCTCTAATCATGCGGGACTCCACGCACGGCATGTTTCATTGCGGACGCGATTCGCTTGTCGAGTCAGCATGTTTCCCTTACCGCGACGGCCGTAACTCGAAGCATCCGTCGCCCGTTGCCAAGTGGAGATCATCACTATTGTCTGCGTCGATAGCGTCCAGCACATATAGAACCGGAAGCAAGCCTATCCATTACTCTCAGGTACAGTGCCCGCTTGTATATCTCACATGAATCCTCCGGCCCAGGGAGCGCTAGCCCGACGACACGAATTTGACCTTTTGTGGGACAAATGGAATTTAGATCCAACAGAGCGTCTAGCCCTTGGGACCACTGGGCACAGCGTTGGCATAATGTTTTTGAAACGGGACCCCATGGCTTCTCCGTGGGGTATACTCTGTCGGTGTATTGCACCGCTCTTATACGGGAGATCCTGGTGATCTTACGCTTGACGCTGCAGCCAGCCGTCAAGTCGTTGATCGTCTCGTGGAACTCTGGTAGCGCTAATCTACGAGAGCCGGAGTAATTACAGCATCTGACATTGAACGACTTCGCATTCGGTATGCACTGGCCTTGTACATAATCGTGACCCGTGAACAGGTGTACGTATATCATATGATACGGTGATTCTCCAGACCGCGTACCCACCAATGGCTCGAAATTGTTGAACGTGTTGCTCAACGTATCCAAGTGCACCGGGGACTTTTTATGGCGAGCTCATTGTAGTGTGTGGTGACCCAAGTAAGTCGGCACTAAAACCATCATCTGAACACCAATGGATCAGCGCATGATAGACAGGACGAGGTCAATATCGCGCAGCAGCAGTACAGTGGCAGCAGAAAAATATGGCTAATTCAGCAGTATCTTGACGTCCATAATGCTATTCATCATCGGTTGCAGTGTGCGGGCATTTCTGATGATGGCTGTGCATGGTGCTCCCACTGGCCGCCCGGAGCGCGTACGGTGAAAAGATAATCCAACAGCGACGTCGTCACCGACCAGTTAGTAGCTTCCGATCCACGCTGCAAGCAGATAACATCTCCCATGTCTTAGGAAAACGACAACCACCATAATGTTGTTGTCACTTTCCCATTCATCCAAGGCCATGAGGACCTGCTCCCTCTTGCCATGGTTCACGCTAGCGCAAAAATCGCAAAGCTCGCACAACTCTCCTCGGCGGCCTCTTACACAACACGCTCCTCTCGCTTCCCAACACCAGAACCTCGCGCGCGATCGCGCAACAATACCGGACCGGTGCTCTGGATAACTCTCCACGACATTTCTACTCGCAATCTCGAATACGACGCGCTGAAAAATGGCTGGCTACGGGGACTCGGATACGCAAATGGGAGGAGGGCCAGGCCAATACGCGAACCAGAATGGCACACCACCGGCGCAGCAACACCAGTTGACTGATCCCGAATTGCGCCTACAGGAGAACCTACAGCAGCTGCGCGACGGTGGAGACATGATGCATCCAGTCGGTCCCCAGCAGCCTCAGTACCAGCAGATGGCTCATATGGGACCTGCCATGGGCGCGCATCCGCATTTTGCAGGTCCAACGCGCCCCACGCATTCTCCACAGCAAATGGCGCAACATGTCATGAATATGGACGGACACCACGACCCGTACGATCCCAACGACCCGAATCGCAAACGCTCCAAAGTCTCACGCGCCTGCGACGAATGCCGAAGGAAGAAGGTATGCGATGCCTCCCTTCCTGCACAATATGCGCTTACGCTGGGTAGATTCGATGCGACGCGACCAGCGAGAACGGCCCAGAAGCCTGTTCTAGCTGCAAACGGACTGGAGCCCGCTGTCAGTTCAGCCGTCAGCCTATGAAGCGCGGCCCGAGCAAAGGGTATGTCGATTGTGTGCAGTTTGGCGAGCTTGCTAACACATTTCAGATACATCAAAGAGCTTGCGGACCGGCTTAATTCTCTCGAAAGCCAGATCCACCATCCTCCGGCGCAGTCGCATAACTTCGACTTCGGAACATTGGGCGACCAACCGTTTCCCGATACTCAGAGCCCACCGCAGTTCAAGCGCCAGCGCACTCACTCCATGACAGACGGGTTCCACGAGGCATTCAGCCGGCCCAACTGGTCCGCACAGGATCGCGGTAATGGTGGATCTGTAGACGCACATGGTCTGCCTGTGCTAGGGGATCAAGACTCGTCGCTCAATGGCAACCGGCGTACCTCTTTTGGAGAAATGAGTTTGGGCGGCAGTCTTATCACAGGCTCTCACGAAGAGATTCTCAAAGCGTACGTATACCCGCACATGTGAAATTTGCCAGACACTAAACCATATCTCAGGTATTACAACATCATTCATCCCACGTTGCCTGTTCTGCCACATCACGAGTCACAACTAAACCGCCTTACAAACTGTCCGTCGAAGTTGCGAGAGACGTTCTTCCTCGTGCTAGAAGGCTGTATCCGGTCTATCGCCTCGAAGGCTCTGCCACCTATCGATATCAGTCTTAATCAGCTGTTACAACAGTGCTTTACTTCAGTCGACGCGGCGAACTATTGTCTTCATGACACAGATAGCTCACGACGGTTCTACAACCACCTGGTGTACTGCCAGTCACTGATCCTGCTTGCCGCAGCATCTGACAGGCCTGGTCCAAGCATCATAGGCAGTACTACTGGACTGCTGGCCCGTGTCTCAGCATGTATCGCAGATGTCGGAATAAATGATGCCAGAACATTGGCTGGACTGAAAGAACAAGATCTCGAAGTGTATCAAACAGCACGGCGCGTATATTGGACTGCGTTGATCATAGACCGTTTCCACGCGTCTAGTCAATCGACGGACATGATGATTCGAAGATACTCAGGAACACTTTCACGAGACGACTACTCAGCTCTGGGTGAAGTCGCTTATTATCTCGCTCGTAAGTGCAAACTCATTTCAATTAAAGACCATTCAAGACTAACATCCATCAGGTGTTGCCCTACTCGTTGGCCGCATAGCCTACGTCAATCGCGCAGGAAGCATCCCAAATGTTGACCCAGCAGCTCCATTCGCCTTTTCTGCACTCAAACCCGGAACGACGGAGTCAGAGTACCTCAATGGAGCACTAGATGAAATCAAGCAGTCCATCGACCTGACCACCTTGACAAGTAACTCTCCTCCTCATTTGGCGCACCAGTATCTCAGAGTGTTCATCGCACGACTTTCAGGGCAGAATCTGCCTTCTGCCGAGGTCCTCGAAGTCACCAAAGACCTGCTCAGCAACCTCATGAGCGGCGCGATCACTCCCTTGCACCATATCTTCGCCGCTCTAGTCGCTACATCCCTCACTGAACTCAACGACCGAGGCGAACTGAAAGCAGAAGCAAGCACAACCATCAAAGAAATGAGCGACGCCCTATCAAACGGCCAAATCATCCACCGCAGCTCCGACGGTCTAGGCTGGGAAACTGCAATCGGCGACCTACTCCACAAGAAGAAGTCTTCCACACCTCCCTACACCGGTCCCGAACAAGCCAGCCCCGCGCTCGAACCCAACATGGCCGGCCTGCAACATCTCGCTGCAGCTGCAGTGGGAGAACGGGAAGGAACGGGCGATAATAATCGTCCTGGTAGTTCTTCGCAGCAGAAGGTTGATAATGATCTTTCGGCTGCTATGGCGGCGGCGAATGAGGCTGCGAAGGCGCAGGCGACGGCTGTTGCGGCTCAGGATCTTTTTCACTAGATGTGGTGAGCGTGGTTGTGCGTGAGCGATGCTTGTCTTCTTTCTTGTAGTGCATATACCCCTTTTTAGCTATGAGCTGGTATGATGGTCTGAATTGTAGGCTTATATCATTTTGTAATGAGATTCGTTTGGCTACTTGCTCTGTTGACAGTTTGAGAATCCTGAAATATCGTGCTCCAGTTGTTACTACGTTTCGAGGGCATACGCAGTGTTCCACCTTACTCCTCTACAGCATCGCTCTCGTCCTCATCAAGCGATTCGCTTTCGTCTTCTTCGATCAAACCGTTCTCGCCTTCATCAACCATGACAACACCCATTTCTCGCCTACCCGCAGCATGTGCAGCCTCGTCCTCTTGCTTCAGTCGATCCAGTACGATGTTGACCTCCGGTACTAGTACGTTGTCGACGAAAGATAATAGATCGCCGTCATGTGAGTCGTACCGTGCGTCAAAGAGAGGCACCAAGTCTTCTAGCAGACGTACGAGATAGGCGTCTTCTTCTTGGATTCGGCGCAACTCGTCTGGGGGGTATCGCGGTGGAGGCGCACGATGAAGGTCGGGTACGACCGCATGCCTGAGGGACTCCATGAACCGCATGAGATTTCGGCAGGTGTGCCGAACGCCTAGCCATGAGAAGACACATAGCCTGATGAGGTTGGTGATTATCCACCTATTCGCCGCATTCTTTGCCACCTCTGCTACGCATTGCAAAGACTTCCTACACGTTTGATACATATCTTTATCGCGAACATCAACGCGATCTAACTTTAGTAAACCCAATATCCCTTCCGAGTTTCTACCGCTTGTGAAAGAGTACTGGCAAGTGATATCATTGAAGAAAGAAACCAAGCTAGTACAGCCGTGTGTACTACAGCTGCATTGGCAGTCATCTGTGACCGTGTGTCGAAATATTTTTGCAATAACATCGCAAAGATCGTCTGTAATCGCTAATCCGTTGACTAGCGTGAAATGGGCCGCTTTGTTGCTGACGAGATGTAAGGCGGAGATCTTTGACCCCGGCCAGCAATCGGTGACATCCGCCCCTTTGCCGAGGAACCAGTCTATCATCTTGAAAAACTCGGGCATTTCGCCAGGATGACTATGATTTTTCGTCCAGGATGCGATGCCGGTGAGCAATGGCGAGCAAACCATATCGAGGCAGCATTCTTTGTCCACTATAGCAACGTCCTTGAAGCCAGTGTCGTACAGGAATTGTAAAATTTTTAACGGCGAAATTGACGCAAAGTTGGCATCGGGTTGTAGAAACTCGTCATAGATTGTGTGGACGTTGTATGTATAGACTGAAGTCGGCCGAAGAGAGGGCGGGATCTTGAGGCCTCTTTTGTCAAGTGCACGCGTTGCACACGTGGCGTGGGCGTCAAGAACGTCTCCTGATCTTTCGACGCACTCGCATTCGATGCCAGAGTTTTCTATCATCTGCCGAAGCTGGTATCTCTGTTCGATCAGATGTGCGGCGACGATCTCTGCTATGTTCACTTGAGAACCCGCCAATGCGTGTACAATGGCAAATTCTAAGCCTCCAATGTTTGCAAGACATTCTGCCGTGGCAGTTTCGCGTACATCAAGCCAGAGTTGCACCATAGCTTGACTCTGAGAGTCCACGGCCTCCAAGAGAAGCAACTCAGGCCACGTTGCCAAAGGCACATCTGATGTATAGCTCAAATGAGCATCGAGGAGGATCTGGCAGCCGCGTGTCCAACCCATAAGAGTTATCATATGATATAACTTTGATGTTTCTTCTTGTTCCCACGTGTGATTCGAACTGTGCGTTTGAATCGCACTGCTGAAGTCCGTTTCTGATCTCAGCAACGCTGCCACAGTGGTGTCACCAAGGTCGAAGAAGGGATCTGGGAAAGATGTGAACGAAATTCCGACCCACGAGCTATAGCTGTAAGAAAAGTCAAAAGCTGTCGATATCCTTAGGTCGTAACGCAGAAGATCGGACCCCAAGATCTTGAATCCGGAGTTGGACGCGGTGTAGACGCTCGAACTACGCAAGAGGAGGTCTATGCATGTTCTAATCTCATATGATTAATCGTTTCTGGAATTCAGCAATGTGTCTTGTTTACCTTCCGCTGTCATCAGTATCCGATGCATCTGCGTAAGTCATGTAACCTAGAACCTGCTTCAGGAGCAATTGACAGGTATCGACGCTGCTGGGGCTCAAGTATATCGCCGTTTCATTGATCATTTGACAAAGGTACTGTTAGATTTTAGCAATGCCCCCAATAGTTAGAAGAGGCGCCCAAGAGCTCACGTGTAACAGCGTTCTTCCGTCCCCTAAACGTTCGTGAGGTGAAGCCTGACGTGTATGGAATATCTTGGTTAGCTCCGCAGAGTACTTCGGGATTCCAAACATATCATCACGATAACGAAACAGCATGTTATGAATCAAGCTGAACGCTGGGGAGGATTTCACGGTGACGATCCTACGGAACGACAAGGTCGGCACGATCGAGAAAGTCCCACTTCCAACCGAAAGTTGCATAAAGAAGCGGAGTTTCAAACCCAGGATTAAGTAACACAGTATCATCCCAAAACTAAGAGTCATGTCGCGACTCCCAGCTATCCAGAATGGGCAACTTGAATCGTGAAAGTGGATTTCTTTCCACGACACAACGAACGGTAACTGCACAACTTGCTTCTTCAGGTGATACTCTCGGCATGTACATGATCTGGAGATGTTCAGATTCTTCGATAGTCGTGATCGCGTAGATAGTGTTCTTCGATGGAGATGTTGAAAGTTGGTGGTCTCCTGCTCTAGACCAACTGCAGACATTGGTAGCAGTTCATGACTGAAATCTTTCTGTGGCCACGCTGCGGGTGCACTTGGTAAGTGAACTTCAACGAGAGGATCCTGGCCAAACACATGATCATGCTGGCTGACGAACGGCTGTATGAAACCTGACTGTCGTGGACTGGTGGCCAAATCTGTGCTTGAGCTCTGGCTTTGCTCAAGAAAGTGGCGATTAGGGGAATTTTGAGCGCGTCGCTGCTGATCGAGAATCATCTGGGTATTCAGCGATAGTTGACCAAGCTGTCCTTGTACAGTGGCGAAGTTCCGTTGCCACTGATCTCTAAGAGCTGTTAGCTGAGATGTCGTTTACACACAAGTGCAGAAATTACATCTCCAACGCCTGCAACGCGATCTGCAGGTTCTGTCGAATACTGCTCAAAGTATCTCTCCAGTACTTGATGTCGCTCTCTTTGAACGGATATGCTAGCCGTTTGATCACTTTCCGCGACTGGGTCGAGAATCTGCTGGAGCTCGTCGGAGGAGTGTCATCTCCGACCTTCGTCCTGATCGACTCTATGGAGAGCGCGCATTGCTGTATGATAGCTTTCACCAATGCGATAGGTGTGGTAGGGTCCATTTTGCTGGTGGCAGTCTCCAGATACTCAAGGAGATTGACCAGTGTGTCCAATTCGCGGGTGATCTGTTCAGCCTTCTTTTTCGCATCTTTGACACCATTCGTATATTCAGAAATCTTATCATACAGTTGTATTGAGAGAGAAATGACACCAACGATGGTGCCGGCCACTTCGGCCATGGCGGGCGTACACAGAGATGGAAGGAGCGACGAAGCGAAAGGCTGGAAAGTGGGCAGATGATAAGACTTTGTAAGAAGGCGCAGCACAGCAGTGCGCCTGCCGCAGATGGCGTCCACTCATTGAATTCGGCATTGCGGGGGTCAGCCCAGCCTTGCGACGATATTAACCTTGCAGACTTTCAGCCTGGCCTCAGCTACGTGCCCGCTTGATAAATCTGAGAACGTTGGCGTGATTGGTGCGCTTCGCTGAGTGTAAACAGCTTGATCTTTAGGCAGATTGAAGTCACGTACAAGCGCGACAGCATCGCGGACATCATTGAAGAGGTTCATGCATTACCAGGTCTTAACCCATCCCCAACAGGCCCTTAAGTCTAGCTATCTTCCCGATAATAATACCCTTCAGCCCCCCAGCACCCATAGTAGGCACTTCATCCACGCCCACAAAGCGCCTCACAAGTAGATTGAAGATGTTGCCAAAGCCCAACGCCATGACCGTACTAGTCAAGATAATAACGTTATACGGCATACTGAAATCCGGCGTGGGAAGAGGAAGTAGCAGCGAAGTCGTGCGAACGTAGATACCCTTGTTATCTCCTGACTGCGGCGACAGAATACGGATAACAGCAGGTGCGACGTCGAAGCCTCGATTCGCATCTGGCGGGTATTCTGTGTAGCGCAGAATCGCTTTCTCGAAGTCGTAAGAGAGTGTGAGAGTGGAGGCTGGTGGGATAACCATGCGTAGCTCGAGGTGGGTGCCGCGCTTGCGGTCGACGGCTGGGCGGTAGTAGGTCTCTTTTATGGGGCTTTCATCTGTGGTGTCGACGCGGGCTTGGAGCGTGTGAAGGTATGGTTTCATGAACCAAGGTAGAGACTCTAGGTATACTATCTCGACTGCGTCGGTGGTAGACGGGTTCTTGATGACGGACTGTGTACTACCGCGTTCCTGGCCGTGACCGTTGATGGATCTTGCGGCGAAGACTAGAGGATCGGGACGGACAAGACCGGTTTTCATTTTCTGCTCGGGTAGAACGAGGTCGAGGTCTTCGCCGACGGGGAGCTTGTAGCATCGGAGGGTGTCTGATGCCAGTCTAGACTCTGTGAACTCTCCTGTTGTCTTGACCTCGAGCTCGCGCTCCGGTGGCAAGTTGATGCAAACGTTATTCGCCTCTCCCTCAGCCTGATCTGCCAGCGGACAGGCCCCCCTGAGCGGTCTGCCGAAGACCTCCTCCAGTGTCCAGGCGGGCTCGGTGCCCTTGTTCAGGGGATAGCAGGTATCGTGCCCGTTGTATGGCTTGGACGTATCGCATTCCATCTGATTGATGGGTAGGGGTCGCGGAATAGGGTTGTCTCTGGGTCGCTTGGCTCGCGCAATGTCCAAGACCATGTCTACGCTTTGCTCCATCTCTATTGAGCAGCTTGAGCTACCCTCTTCGCACGTCGGGCGTACATCGATGGCCATGGTTTGGAATGAAGCGTCGAATAACTTGTGTCCGTCCAGTAGGCTGGATACACCGGCCTTACCCTTACAGGGCAGTAGCTTAAGAAAAGGCGTAAGGTTCTCCGTGCAGACGACTTCGTGCGGTAGCGTGCCGTGGAGGAGGTGAAGGTTGGACGAGTTACGGTGTTGGCCTTCGGGGTCGAATGACATGACGGGCCGTATGGTCTTGGTGGCATCGATGAAGTTGATCGAGGCACAAAAGAGGCCTGACAGAGCGTTGGTAAGCTTCAGCCATCGTGCAAATGCTCTGTTGCAATTAGTCGAAGTTTCTCGCCCAATGCATGGAAGTCGTACTCTTCCTCAGTATCAGCCTCTACCCAAGCCCACAGTTCAACGCCAGTCCCTCCTTCTCTTGCGCCGTTCCATGGCCGCTGTCCCCAATTCTCAGCATCCCATCTTCCAACACTGAACCTTAAATGTAGCTCCCTCGTATGCGCATGTTGCAGAATCTGTCCAAAAGATCGCGGGAAGTATCGGAAGTTCTGTTGTTCGAATGCAGTCGCGCTTTCGTTGCTCCGGAAGTTGAAAGAGGCCAGAAGGGTGTTCTGGGGAAGGGGTCGCAGGAGGAGGCGCTCGCTGTAGTCGGCGCCCGCAGAGACGAAAGCGATCAAGGCATTGAGCAACACAAAATAAAAAGACGAGAGCATCGCAGCATCGTAGCGCTCTCTACGCGAAATGTGAGCGGGAAGACTGACGATAGGCCCTCGATGTTGGGGTTGCGGCGGACATGTGGAGTGAAGGCGCCCCACCGGTGATTGGTCACCCGGCGTGGATACTTGGCACTGCCGCGGTCGCGATTTCTTTTGGCTGTCACTCACCTTGCAGCTCTCCACATCACGACCCAACCGCGCATTCCTAATATCTACACACCATGGCCGCCGCAGAGACGCGCAGGCTGCTTGGTGGGTCTCCCCAAATCACTATTACTAATACAGCTCCATGCTAACGCGACACAGAGCAGCTTATGGGCGAACAGCTCATGAGCGGAACCGACCAGCGCGCGCCCCAGCTAAACATCAACGACACCAAGGTCTGTCGCTCCTACCTCGTAGGCAACTGCCCCCATGACCTCTTCACCAACACCAAGAACGAACTGGGCCCTTGCTCCAAGGTGCACAACGAGGCGCTGCGGACCGAGTACCAGGAGGCAGACGCGGAACAGAAGCGCAAATGGGGATTCGAGTTTGACTACATGCGCGACATGCAGCATCACATTGACAGCTGTAATCGCAAGATTGACACTGCCCAGCGCCGCCTGGAGAAGACACCTGAAGAGATCAGGCAGACCAACGCTCTTGTAAGTATCCCGGCCAGGGGACCTGCACTATCTGCTCACGCGCGACAGCTCAAAGCGATTAACGAACTGACCAAATCGATCGACGCCGGCATGCTCGAGATCCAAATCATGGGCGAGGAAGGCATGGTCAACATGGCCGTCCAAGAGTTCACCAAGGTCCGTTACAAGAAAGCCGAGAAGGAGGAGCGAGAGAGGGAGCTGCGCGCTCTGTCAGACACCGGAGGTCCATCTGGACATCAGAAGCTCCAAGTGTGCGACGTATGTGGTGCGTATCTCAGCCGTCTTGACAATGATCGGCGTTTAGCAGACCACTTCTACGGAAAGATGCATCTCGGCTATGCTCAAATGCGCAAGTCCTACGAAGCCCTGACCAAGGAGCTCAAGGACCGCCAGCCACCCCGCAATTCCTACGCTCCCTCCGGCGGCGACATGGACCGAGGCGGCGGTGGAGGTTGGGGAGGAGGTGGTGGTGGATACGGTGGCGGTGGCTTCCGTGGTGGACGAGGAGGTCGTCGCGGAGGCAGAAGAGGCGCTTGGTAAATATCCCCGGAATTTGGCGTTAAGGTGTGTCTATGCGATTCCCAAAAGGTTCGGCTTACAGCAGTATTGATGCGAAGACTACCGCGACTCGGCGGTACTTGTACAACAAATGGCGACTTTGGAGGCCCTTTCGGGCGTATGAGCTTGAGACAGTCCAATCAGAACATGTACGCTTTTCTCCAACATGCACCTGACATGCTTCTAACCACCGTCAAGGGATTTCTGTGCGATCGCTGGCCAGTTGGAGGAGATGGGATCTTCCCGCCTGCTATACACTGTCGCAGGTGAGTTGCGCTTTATGTGGCATATTTTTGCAATGTGACACGCAACATTTGGTCATGGTCACGACATGTCTGATATGAACCGCTCATTGATTTCGTAAACTCACACCATAAGCCCGACCTTCCGGCATATACGCATTTCAAGGTAAGTCGTAGAAGCATCGAACATACCCACTTGCTGTATGGTCAGCCGCATTCGCAGCATGAGAAACTCGCAGATCTCGAAATATCTCTGCATGCTCGTTGTCATGACCTTGGCCAGCTCAAATCAGGCCTCTTCGCATATATATGGCTTGCTCAGCTCTTGATTGATCAGTATGTCAAATTGGGGTTTCAGTTATCCACGATGGAGAAGTCGACGATTGCACAAGACAAACGATGCGTATATACACCAATGCATTCCTCTAGAATTCTATATACAGTCCAAGGGGGTATTCGCTAGCCACTGTGGCTTAATGGGTATCGTTATTCGCGGGCATTTCGCCCGCCATCCTATGCTCTCTTCAGAGCATGTACTCGCACCAGAAGAAAATGCAATCTACACAGACCATCATCTCCGTCACCATCTAAGCAGTGCCGTAGTTCCTGAAGTTTTCGCAAGGCAGGTAGTTGTTCTCGATGAACGCCGAGCTGAACCTGATTCCATACGCGCACTCGAACTCCTGTTCGCTCTCAAATGGGAAACCCTTGGTCTTGACGGTGCCCTTTACGGTCTCGATCTTGTTAGGGCTTGTCGTCAAGCTGGTGTTGAAAAGACGGATCATGTTATCGCATTGCTTGCCGTCGCCGAACATGACCTGGTTGGTGACGTTCATGAAGAAACCCAACGGGTACTTCTCCTCCGACGTGAGTGACAGCCGCGTGCTAATGGATGCGGCGCCAGCCTCAGCGCTCGTCGCCTCGAAAGACGTAGTTCGCGGTTCCTTAGCGTCGGGTACCGCACTGTATGCATCGCAAGCAGGCTCGAACAACGACGGGTAAGTCTTGATTCCGTAATCCGCAGCGCCCTTAAGAGCGATAACGTTTTCGGCCGACATAACAAGCGATGGCGTCCACTTGAAGGACGTGGCATTGTCGCCGAGGAGATCGAGGAATGGGAATTCGATGCCACCACGCTAGTCAAAGTTAGCACTACTACTGCGGATCACGATCTAAGGTTAGGCGCATTATCGTACCGAAAAGTCGGGTATTTGAAAGCCGAAAGCTTGTACGCCATGGTCGTGGACTGCCTGGAGAAGGGCTGGGTACATTCCTTCCGGGAAATCAGGGAGGAGATGGCGGTATGCGTGCTCCAAGATGCGGTATTGCGAAGGGATGACTTTGCGTGCGAGATCCAGTGAGATTGGTAGGACTGAGATTGTGCCGTTCAACGTTCCCGTCGCATTTGTTGGGTACTGTGACGCAATGGGGTTTGGCTGGTCAACTGTCTTGCAGACAGCCTGTTCGACGGCTTGTTGGATTTCATGGATGACCGGAACCTGAGGACTCGCGTTCGTCGTACTCGCATAGCGAATAGCAAGCAGCGAAAGAAAGCTGAGAAGAAAGTACTGCCATTTCGAAATCGGGGCCGCCATCTTTGGTCGTTGTATCGAGAGGAAAGCGAGTACAGGATGGCACAAAAGCGCAAGGTCCAAACAGGTGCTTATCATGGTTGCTGAGATTGACCTCCGGGCCGACTTGACAAACACTAGACGGTCGAAAAGCTGATCATGTGAAAAGGTTGGTAGTACAGCAAAAGGCGCCAGCCCATTTGGCGTAATGAAGGACTTTTTCAGCTACATAAAGGTAGTCTATACACACCGGCAACGCATGAATCCGCGCCACTAAAAGGGCGCCGCAAGGGTATCGAGTACTGGAACACAGATACCCGCAGCTGAGCGGGACGACTGACGCCGGGTGAATCAGGTACGTACCTGACCGCAACAGCGTCTGCGCGAGACGCAGCGGTGCTTTGGGCTGCTGGAACGAGCAAACGAGCAAAGACCAGAGTCAAAACGTGACTAGTGCCATGGAACTGCAAGTTTCCGAGACGCTGATCTGTCAGGTGGAGGCATGCTGCCGATGGGCTAGGGTAAGCCCTTGCGCATCGAAATGCTTAGGCCCGACTGCACTTGCTGGTTGAGTGCGCCCGCGCGTTGGGAGGGCGTGTATTGTTGCCGTTGGAATGGCGGGTGGTGCAGTGCGTGTGTCAAGGAGACGAGGTCGGAGTTTCATCGGCTTCGAGATGCTTGCGGGGCCGAGCGCGCACGTGCTTGCTAGGCTGGGTTCCGACTGGCGTGCGCAATGTATTCTCCGGTTCAAATCATTCATTGATTGCTCTTTCACCACGCTTCTGGAAATGTGTTATTCCATGGTTCTGAAGCACGCGTCGCATATACCGGTAGAGCTTATTGCTCGCGCCGCAGATGAAGCAGTCGCGATGCTTCCTCTTTGATAGAGAAGCAACTGACGATATGCGAGAAGACTGTTCGTCAAACAACATCCGGTCGTACGTCATCCGTATTTATCATCACTCTATACGGAACTTAAATCCATGGGCTCCTTGCGCTACATACAGCCGCGTTGTGGCGTTGGATATAGCCCGTGAAACGGCGGCGGACAAAGTTACAATCATAATCCTCCGGTGCTAAAGAATCCCATATCCGGATCCACGGTCGGCCTCAATTACACTAAGGTAGCGTGCTACTCATTTCAAATTCAACCACTTAGATCAACACAACAGACCTACGAAGCATTGAGATGTCGATTACTACAAGATTATACCAGCTATTGCCCAAGAACCGATGCGTATACAGGATATCACACACTTCCGTGTCGACCCCGCAGGTACTGCTCTACCGTTGCATCGTCCATCTTGTCGATCTCAGCTGCCATCGACTTGTTTGCTGGCTGCGCCGAACTACTCCTGCTGGAAGGTTCGGAATCCGACGAGGAAGATGAGGAGTTGCCGAAGCCCAAGGCCGCGTATACAGCCACCACTGAGTTTGCAAGGTTTGTCGCAGCGCTCGTTGCTTGGCCGATGTAACTCTGACCCTCTTGTGCCTCGCCATCGATTTGAGCGGCTGCTCCAGACGCTGAACCTTCTTGACGGGTAGGTTTTGCAGAGGATGGCGTATTGTCGTTTAGTACAGTGCGAGGTGCAGGTTGCGAAGCCCGTCTTTCGGCCTCCTCAGCAGCGCAAACTTTCGTCAACTCCTCATGACCCGTCCGAGGAGGAGGTTGTGAAGCTCGTCTCTCAGCTTCTTCAGCAGCGCGTACCCTCGTCAGCTCATCGTGGCCTGTCGGCTCTGGCTTCGGCTGATTGTCCACAGCCACAGCCGGCGGCGCACTCTCCCTCCTCTTCTCTTTCTCCAACGTATCATCCAATTCCTTGCCAAACAGCAATTTGAAGAAGACCACGAGAAGTACCTCCTCCGTCTTTCGATTCCGAAGTACGTATCTTAGATGATGCGTCTTCTCATCCACGTATTTGGCTACACTGATCGAAAACCCGGGTAACCTCAAGGAGAAATTCGCAAAGTCAAGATGTGGATTGAAGAAGTCGGCATGGTACATGCGGCCCTTTTCGAACGTAAATGCTGACAGCGCTTGTTCGTCAAGGTAATGCTTTCGCCGCTTCTTCCATTTCGAAGGCATGGACGACGCTTTGCGCGCTTCTTTACCGCTCCCCGATGCCCCCTCTTCGATCACACTATCACTCTCTTGACTGAGACTTGCAAGTTGATCTTGTGCGGACACATCGCTCGTCCGATCTCCGATTCGGAAGGCAAAGAAACTTGATAGCGCGGGTCCGTAGAGATACGGCTCGTCAGAGTATGCATCTGAGTAAAGCCCGGGATCCAGCATACTCGTGGCGATCTTCATTGCGTACCTGAAACCTGGTGGAAGCTGGTGCTTGATCGAATGGCCGTAATCGAAGCCCATGACAAGGTCGGAGCCGGACATGTCCTGTTTGGGAACGAAGGAGTAGGCGATGGAGTATCTATCAGAGGTATGTTGTGGGTGATCAAAGTAAGATGATGAAGCTGGTGAACCGCGAGGTAGGCCATGGTAGTCTTTGATTCGGACGCGTATCCATGCTTCAACTAGGTCGCTCTCGACGTGTGTGGGCTCTGCGCCGTTGACTGATACCTGTTCGTGCTTTGAGGCGTCATAGGATGGTCCGGCAGTCACTAAATATCATCAGCATTTCGTGGGATCATTCAAGTTCACTCCAACGGACCTTGCAGGAGGTACTTGTCGCGTGCCTCAGGGTCGACAACGTTGCCCGACATGCTAGTAGTAAAGTCCGACGATGAACTAATGCAATAGCCGTAACTGCCCAGGTGGTCTATCGGGAAAGGAGGCCGGGCAAGTAGATCTGCCAGGTGGAGCGACAGGTAGACTTATGTACCGTTGGATGCATCTTGTATTGAACGATCAGGCATCATCGTAGCTCACACATCAATCAAGCTCGAATCCGCGGCCCAGCGTTGGTGACGACCAAACGGTTCCACGAGTCCATGACGTTATGATCAGCCATTGTCCAATCAGAAGATGTGGCTAAGCCGCTTGCGTGGCTGCTTCGTCGTTCCTTCTCACCAAGCATCACGAACAACACCTGGGCAAGAGCGAAGATAGACATAGCGGGAAGCAAATACTATTGAAACTACCCAGGTACATACAGCTTCAAGCCTGCGCAAGGAGCAGCTTACTCTTCTCTGCCAAGCTTTGTGCCAATTGTGTCATCGGAATGTTCTGCAGAACATCAAACACGGAGCACTCTACCAACATCTCACGCGCAACCCAATTTCTCACCTCAACAGCCACCAGACTGTCAACACCATACGCGCTCAGCGGCCTACCAGCATCGATATCAGCCTCGGGTATCATCATCAGGCTCGCAAGACGCTGCACGATGGCGGCTGTGATGAGCTGCACGGCCTCTTCGTTCGCCGTGCCGCATCGCGTCAACTCCTCTCGCAAAGAGATAGTCTGTCCAGCCTTCGCCGAGGAGCCAGCTGCAACATTGCGCAGTGCAGAAAATCGCGCGTCGGTCATCCAGTACCAGGCGTCGTCGTGCTCGTTGAAGGGCAGACCGCACATGACTTGCCCAGGGTGCTGCGAGGGGCCCTCGATGGCGGTCGCTAGCAGACCATGAAGATCCGACGTATGCATGACCTTGAGCCCCATGGCCTTGACGTGGTCGACATACTCGTCATGTTCAGCCACGAAACCTACCGACAGAAGATAGCCGATATCGATGGTCATCGCCGGTAGGCCCTGGTTGCGCCGGAATGCAGCAAATTCGTCTTGGAAGTTGTTGCCGCAGCCATAATTGCCCTGTCCACGATGGCCCATCACACCGGCTAGCGAAGACAGCATAACGAAAAAGTCCATATCGCGTGGCAGTAGCTCGTGCAGGTTCCAGGTGCCGTGGACCTTGGGACCGACCGTCGTACGCACATGGTCAGCCGTCATCTTGTCGAAGAGGCAGTCTTGTAGGACCATGGCGCCAGTCGCACAGCCCTTGACAGGTGGCAAACCCTTAGCTTTCAGGTCATCCAAGACTGCTTGCAGAGCGGTCTTGTTACCAACGTCGCAGTCATACGCCAGCGGCGTAACGCTGTACGTCTTCTGCAGTTGCGCAGCGAATGCTTTGTTGTCTGTGCCGCTGGCTGCAGACCGAGAGAGGAACACCAGGTACTTCGCGCCCTTCTCTGCCAACCAACGCGCAATCTCACGCGTGATACCACCAAGTCCGGCAATCACGTACGTCGCGTCAGACTGGACACGTACGCGTGGAATTCGAGGTACGGCACGGACCAAGTCTGCATCGTCAACGCGAACGACCACCTTGCCCATGTGCTTTCCTGCCTGCATATGGCGGAAGGCCTTCTCGACTTCGGCCATGGTAAAGATCTGGAGTGGCGCAATGGGCTTGATCGCCCCCTCATGGATCATCTTCGCCGTGTCATGCCAGAGCGCTACTGCTCGCGGTGTCGGATTGTTCTCGAAGTCCAGCAGGTTGACACCGATATAGCTCTTGTTGTCCAACAAGGGCTTCATGTCAAGACCGGTGTTGGCGAAGAGATCCGCCTTTCCGATCTCCAAGAAACGACCGAATTTGGCCAGGCAGTCAGTCCATGATCTACGAAGAGCCTCGCCAGCCAGCGAGTTCAGTACCAGATCCACACCCTTGCCGCCCGTGGCACGGAGCACTCCCTTGACAAAGCTGGTGTCGCGACTGCTGAAGATGTGGTCTTCGGGGATTCCATACTGCTCCATAAGAAGCTGTTTCTTCGCGTCCGCGCCGACCGTAGCGAATATCTCTGCACCCTTGGCTTGCGCGATCATGATAGCGGCTTGTCCGACACCGCCAGCAGCGGCATGAATCAAGATCTTCTCGCCAGAGACAATGCTACCTGCAGTTACTAGCGCGTAGTAGGCTGTGAGGAAGATGAGTGGCATTGAGGCGGCTTCCTCGAAGCTCATGCCAGAGGGAACGGGTATGGCACCCTTGGCTGG